AACCACGACTCCCTTTGATTATCATAAGTTAATATTCAAAATGTGGGTCTTTCTCGTCAGGTCTATGTTCTTGCTTTCAATTCAATCTTTCCAATCGGGTCTAGAATGACAATTTATCCCAGACAAACAAGTCTCCTCTAGCTTAAGGAGTAGTCCATAGCTAATAATCTATGGTACTAGCTTATTCCAGTCATTGGGCACAACTTCCTTTTCTGTTTACAGAGAATAGGATAAACCTCTATTCCATCCGGGCAAATAAGATGCTCGCTCACTCCACTACGCTACTTGCTGTGCAGTCTCCAATACGCCACTTGCAGTTCCACAGAGTGTTTTTCTAATCTTCTTGAGTATAAAGAGGAATCTAAGGGAAGACACTTCATTGCGGGAAGCACCACACGCCTGCTTCCTCCTCTAAGCAAGCAATAGCCAGAGCTCTGAAGCTGAAGTGAGCCAAGCTCAACAATCTTGAATGGCTTACTCACTCAAGCAGTAAGGCGACTCCGCGGGCTCAATCAGAGGTTCCTATGCAAAGCCCAGCTATGAAGCGAATAAAGAGCAGTTCGCACTCTCGGTGGGATGGGTCGGGTTCGGTCAATGAAATGCCTTTTCCAAGCACGATCAGGCTTCAGGGTAGCTTCTGGGAGTGCTCTACGAGAAGGCATATGTGTTACATCTTGAGATATTTGTTTAGGGCAAACGGTCACCGCCATTTCTCGTATGAAAGGCTGGACTGTCGCAATCAAACTCTCCGCCTGCCGGATCATCTCTATCAACCGTCTCGGCCGCACCTTCTTCCGCATCTGTCTCAACTGCTCCTTGTGCGGGACTCTGGATACCTATAAAGCTCCTCTGGGCAATCGTATTGGTTCCAATCAGCATTCCTAACCTCCGTCTTCTCCTGAGCGTCTGGACTGCACTGAGTGCCTGGACTGAAAGGATTCTCTTTCGCCATTTAGAACTTCCCCGTGGTAGCATAGCATAGTAGTGCAAGTGAAAGTAAATAATCAAAGACGTTGAAAAAAAACCTTGTGATCGATGTGGGACCTTAGATAACAAAGTAGCGATAGGGCGCCTAATTCTGGTCATTTAGAGCATCTTCTCTTGATTCACTCAGAAATGACCCTTTCTCTGAAAAGCTTCAACTCAATCACTTGGACAGAGGGAGTTGGCCTACCAACTGCAGGCTCTGGTGGGGGAACGGTATCCATTGCCTGCTGCCCCATCCCAATAAAACGTGTTTCTCAACCACCCCTGTCGACTTCGCACAAGCCAACCTTGCACTAACCCTAAAAGAAAAATCCAGTATAAAATCCCGAGCGGGGAACCACCAAGTGCAGCTAAAGCAGGGCCGCTAGGTCCGAAGAGTAACTGCCCTTCTGACTTCCCTGTCCGGGATCTCTTCACTGGATGTGGAGGCGCGTAGCGCTGCGAAAAAGAAAGGGTTGCCTTCCATGCCAAGCCAGCACATGGACCGGATTGTTACTCGCTACGCGCCTCTGCATGGTGAGATGGGAACAAGTTGTCATGATGTATGCAGGTAAGTGAGCGATGAACGCCTGTCTCTGTTGCTGCATGTGCTGTTTGTTTGTTTCCGAGGTGGTGTGGTCTGCCCCCGAGGAATGTCTAGGAGAAGGGTTTTCTGCTGTGATTGCACCAAGTGCAGCTGCGGGTTAGTATCTCTTCCTAGGTGGGAAGGGGCACGACGAGGAACGAAGTCAAACCATACCACGTACTCACACCATTGTTCATACAATGTCTATAAGCGGTGTTTTCTGCGATATTGCTTCTGGCTCTCCACAAAGGAACATCTCCAAGGGAGGGGGCGTGAGCTGCTTAAGCTTCATCCCATCCCGAATCCTTGCAATTAACACACCACGAAGATAGGGACTGAGAGGTAATCCTCTTCCAATCCACCACTCGAGTGGTAACCGATCAGGACCGACTAAAAGCTTACTAGATAACGCCTGAATCCGACTAAAACGCCGGGATAGGGCCTTAGTGTAGTGTCCATTTGTCCTAGCACGCGGTATCCAGCTTTATTTAACCTTAAACAAGTCTTAGGACTTAACTTGTACTTATAGGCCAACTGCTGAGTACCAACGAGGAAGTAGCTCTCAAGCACAGCTTTCGCAGATACTGGGGGGGATAAGTCCTTCGACATTATCTTAACCCAGAACCGCTTGGCGAACTCAAGACAACCCGTCTCAGATACAATAGACTTGGCATCAGATATATCTACTTGCAAAGCATCAAGTAGAGAACGGTACTCCTTAGCCACACTACGATCGGCAATGACGATGTCATCACCTAACAAAGCGTAGTCGAGAAATGGTCTCGTCTGATGAGGATATGCTCGTAATGCTGCCAACCACACAATAGCATGGTGGGACAACGCGAATAGAGCCCAGGAGCCGTAATAACCCAAAGGTTGACCTGCAACAAACACAACTTCGTCATGCCGTCCAGTAACGGACTTCAAAGAGCATGAGTTGAGTGCTAAGGCACCATTGACAATGCACGATGCCATCGTTTGACCGAAAAGGCACGCCATAAGCTCATATATGACTGGAACGGGCCACCGATCGGTGGCAGCGCTCAAGTCAAAACTTGCTATAAATCTTGGGCGTCTCTTTGCCAGACGATGGATAGGACCTTCTTGATGGAAGGTACCGTCTTGTGGAATACGCCTCAGAACAGACATACCCCACACATGCACGGGGTATAACAGACGTTGTTTAAACCAGTTACCGATTACAAACAAACGCCGCTTTCCGGCCACCCTCTAAGGACTGAGCCAAACGTCCGGAATAAAGAGGTTGAGAAGAACGGTCGAAGCCCATGGCGAGGGAATCAAACACCAAGCCAGGCCAAGCCTCATAAAACCTCAACCCTTCATTAGCTGCCCAGGTACTAAATTGCGTATCAAACGGGTACAAAGTATACCCAGGTTGAAAGAGAATACCTGGACTGAAAATACCATCCGGTTCTGAATGAATGATTCGCAGCTGGCGGGCAAAAGCCGCGATTTCCAAGAACATCGCAGAGAAGAAACAAGTCTCCTTCCGTTCTTTAGGAGCAGGCTGCTCATCACTACCTGTAACCTTTTTAGAACACATGTGCAACTGAAGATTCGGTTTCGGCGGACGCAGTTTTTTGAGCTTACGCTCTTCACGAAGTTGCCTCCGTGCTTCACGGCGCGCTTCCTCCTCTTCAGGGCTCCGTTGGATCTTATGTTGAACAAGGTTACTTAAATCATTAGGGGTGGACTTCCAGGACGGGACAAACTGAAATCCCTTTTCTAAGGGGATTGAGTTCACCCAGGGGAGATAGCGTCTGAACAAATTTTCTACATTTTGTTTAAGTTCAGAACACACCTCTTTAACCCGACCCATATCTTTAATGGGAGTCACAATGGTACGGAATGTGCTAGCCTTTATAGGCTTCGCCAATTTAATAATCCGACACACTGAGAACCAAGAAAGATACAATCGGACCAACTGATCTGCCCGATCATCCCGCACTTTGATCAATTGGCGGTGATGGGTAGGGATTCTAGTTGGTATCCCAAGCAAGCCAGGAAGGCAGCGCTGCGCGCCTACGGTCCTTTGCTGTGTTAAGCATGTGTTGCTGAGCTAACCATGTCAACAGTATGGAACCCCGCTCGTAGAGACCTTAAAAAGAATACAAGCAAGTGTAGCTCACTCTCCCGAAGGGAGCTTAGCAACAGTAGTTAGTTAGAAACAGCAGCCGCGGATCAGTCGGAGAAGTCGTTTCTACCATTTCAATCGGACAAGAAATTCCGAGACCTTTCAAACAGCGTATTCTCGGCACGAACCAGGCCCGCTGGGAGAGTCAACTTTCTGATTTCCGAATTGATTGGAAAAAACTCCTTTTTGGGCCAGAGACAGGTACGGAAAATTCTCAGGGGCCGAAGCGCCAAGTAGGAGAGGTCAGAGTCAATATCTCGTCCGATACTCGTCCTATCCTTTCTTTAAAGTGGAAACGGCGTTACCGTCATTGAAAAAGAAGCGAACAGGGAACGGCGGGAGAAAGACTCGGCATTCAGGCCATGCTAGTACAGTTTGTTTTCTTAGCTACACTTGCTTCCATCAAGAGCTCCCAAGGCCACCTGATTCGGAGTAGCCCGTTCGTGGCAGAGATTTTAATTCCAGTTGGACTTGGCCAAATGCCAATCCTCCTAGTTGTGGAAGTGGTTGGAACGGTTTCCTATTCCTATCGAGCAGCTGAGCCAGTGAAAAGCAGGACAGGGTCACAATCTTCCAAATTTGAAAAGCAAATAAACAAAAGTCGGAGCTGGTAACGCCTTGGTGAGCAAATCGGCAGGTTGTTCTTTAGTAGAGATGTGTTCGGTTGTAATGAGTTTGTCTTGAACCGCATCACGCACCTGATGACAATCAGATTCAATGTGCTTCGTGCGCTCCATGAAACACAGGATTGGCAGCAATATTCATAGCAGACTTGCTATCACAAAATCACTTCATTGGTTCGTCATGTTTGATACCAAACGAGAGAAGTAACTCCTTGAACCATTTAAGCTCGCACAAAGCAAACGCCATAGATCTATACTCGGCTTCGGCGGAAGACCTTGACACTGTTGGTTGTTTCCTAGTTTTCCAAGAGATCGGAGAACTACCAAGATAGAACCGTTCAAGCAGGACTTGCTTGCTTCGCCTGTTGATTACCTCTCCTTTCAGTCGAGTTATTTAAACCTCTCCTGAAGCGTCTTATTCAGATATAGATATTACAGATCCGCATACGAAAGATTGGAATGACCGGATAACTGCCCAAAGCACTACTAAATGGGTGTCAAAGAGGAATGAAATGGGATGACTTATTGATGGATACGTGGTAATTTTCCACTCCTGAACGACTTGGTACTCCCTCTTTCTCTATGGATCGAGCATATGAGGTGCCACTCTACCGCACCAATGCAGGTTATGAAATTATAGATGCTCCCCCCGGTGTCTTGCCAGAAGCTCGTTTTCTAACCAAAAAATGGAAGATTTGAAAACCCCATCCCCGGAACTGGAAAAGGACCTAAACTCGTGATAGAAGCCGTCTTTCTCTAGTAGGAAATCAAAGACATCGGGAAGGCTCGCGTATTCCTATTCTTGTTATGGGAGACTGTCCATACCCTATCTCGACTCCGTTCACAAGACCATAAAGTAGGGGAAGGCGGGTTTGATCCTATCATTTGTTATTTTAGTTTGAAATGGCAACACTAAAGAAGTGTGGAAACAGAGATTTAGAAAGCAGAGTTAGAGACCCCTTACCCAGGGATGTGATTGGGAAAAGAGCCATTGGAAGGTGACTAAAAGACCAGAAACAGGGGCTACCCGAGCTAATGATAGAGGCAAGAACACTTTCCGGCCAGGCCTGACTATAACCAACCTTACAGATCCCACTCAACCTTTTACACCGATGTATCGTACTCTCTCGACCAGGTCATCATAAGAAAATACTGCTAAATCTTTCCAAAGTTATAGAAGGAGGGAAGGCGCACTACAACTAAATAACAGCCAGCTGAAAAATGCTAGCTAGTTAGGCTAGCGCGCAATGGCTTTCTCTGCTCTGATAGGGGCTTGCTTCTTCAAGCTCTGCCCAACCTATACAAGGTGCTGCTCGCTTTCTCTCAGCCACTAGTGGCTTATGTGGTGGTCGACATTCCTACGCGCTCCTCCTTGCCCCCTACTTCAGAATCCAAAGGTAAACTTTGGATGTTGTCGTGACGCTTTGGTTACGAAGGTTACCGGGGTCTAGGTTTATGGATGGAGTCAGTCAGCGAAAGTCCTCAATCAATATCAACAAGATGTCGTGACCGCTTAGACTTGGTGGATTTTGTCAGAAAATAAAGTTGGTTTCGGGGGTTCATTGATTAGTACACCTCTGGTGCTGGTAAGGTCGGAACCGTGGTCGTCCGTCTCCGGTTTGCCGGCCGATAAGATCTCTGAGATTGATCAGCCAGCTGGGTTGGTTTGGCTATTCCTTTCTATTGAAAAGGAGTCAGCTGTCTGCGCGAGTCACCTTCTTTTAGGCTCCGCTGAACGACACGGCATTCTCGTTCAAATATAGGCCGGCCGTACTTGTGATGGTTCCCAAGGATCCAATATGACCACTTAGGTCTACGTTGCCGCGATATTTTTCTATGGAAGCGGGCGGGCTGTTAGAAGTTCGGCCCGGTTTTTTTGGTGTCGTAGGGGAGGGATTGACCTTTCTAACGCATATTCAGTCGTACCGGCATGGCCCCACTGATTTGTTTTCGATCGGAGCATCAAGCAGCGCAACCCGGTTCTACTTGACTAAGCCCCGTGCTCGTCCAAGGAGGGAGTTTGCTTTACCCAACAACTTCCTTTTTGATAACAAGGCAGAAACCTCCGACCCGACATTCAAAAGTTTCGAATGAAGAATGAAGAGTGCCCTGCCCCAGCAAGCACCTACTCAATTCTAAATAAAAAAGCGTGACTTTACTAAACAAGCAAGAAAAGCCCTTTCGCACTTCTTAGTAAAGCCTAAGCGCCCTTGTTGCTAAAGGTAAGGCCGGCTTTCTTCGCATGCTTGAGCGCATTACGCATTAATATAATACATATATATCAAGCTTTCCTTGAGTTTTCAATAAGGGGCATCTATAGTAAGGGGCCTTTTCAATAAGACTCGCGCTAGGCGATCACGTTTTTTGTCTTCCCAAAAATCGAATATTTTTGAGTTGGTAAAGACCCACCCCTAGTTTCAGTCAGAATGAGTCCCCGGGACCCCGGGACATTGGCTTCCGCCAACAGTGGACTATTAAGGATCGCATCCCGCGCATATTCTACATTATAGCCTGCAACTAATTCAGCTTCCGCTTCTGGGAGATCAAACGGAGCTCGATTAGTTTCTGCTAGACGAGAAATAAGGAACATAACCAATACAGGGAACAGGGGAATACCAGACCATATCTGCTTTTGCGCCATGACAATCTCACTCGAATTACGGGGACCTACACATATTAGTACAGTATACCGGGGTGTCCCCGGCCAGAACCACACGTGCAAGTTTCCCTGCATGTGGCTCGTCCGTGCTTTCCGAGGCGCTGCCTGTGACTCAGCATGAGAGAAGGGGGCGGAACTGCACACTCTCGTGTTCAGAGCATTGTCCGAGTGAGTAGGCAGCGCCTACCAAGCAAAGCTTTCTTGAAGAGGCTGGGCTGCTTCCTTTTCGGCGCCCGCCTTTATTCATCTATACTAAAGCCACACACGACCCAATAGGAACGATTTCAGCGCCCCTCTCTAGATAAGAAGCAAAACGCGCCATCACCTACAGCCCTTTCCTCTGCCGGGGACTTCCATGAAATGAAAACGGGCGGCATCGTTGTATGCTCGACATTTGTTGCCCTGGTTTATATCCCGGAGTACTCCTATGGCCGATCTGTCACCCAACCTACTTAAACAACCTAAAGGCTTGGCCCTGTCCCGCTTTTAGAATGACCCTTATGGCACAGCTTAGTCAGTTATTCTCGCAGTTCAGATAAGATTCGGACCGCCACTTCTCTGAAAGCATGGTGCTTGCCTCCTCCCTCCTTGGAGCTCGTCCATTCGTTGGGTGATCCCTTGCTCTCACGTTCGAGTGTTTTCTCGTCGTTTAGGCCGGTGAGTGAGATTTCTGCTCATTGCAGTCACCTCCGGGGTTCTTCGCACCTGGATAGTACCAGGACCCGTGTGCCCCGGCCCTTGATCAGATAAAGCTGCCCGCCCGAAGCCCGACCTATGACCCACAACTCAAAATGAGCCTTGCGACGAGACGCGGACATTACCCATGCTGCGGTTCCCTCCGGTCCGTTCCCGGGTTGGGTTAGGGGAACATCCGAGCGATGATTGCCTTCGCGGATACAAACGCGCTCACAAGGCGCACAATAAGAATAAGACCAATAGAGACTTCATAAGAGACCATTTGAGCTGCAGATCGTAATGCTCCTAGAAAGGCATATTTCGAATATAGAGGAGTTCAAGTTACCAACAATCAACGAGTTGATCATACCCTTCTATGAACCGTACGAGCACGTCCTCTCTCACACCCCACCGCGCTTACGGCTCTATACCCCAACCCTACTTGCTCTGGACCCCCCCGGTCCTCCCTTTCTATTCCTCGGTAAGCGGGCCGTGGGAGCATGGCGGGAGACAAAGTCCCCTTTTGACTGATAGAAAGCATCTCTCTTTTGTCTCTCCTGACCGAACCCGCCAAAAAAATCACAATAGAATAAGTTGTTCTTGCCGGGAGAGTAGCGTCTGAGACATCTTTATCTGAGGAGGAGGCTTCGTCGTCCGGCTCATCCTCGGAATCCGAAAATAAAACTGAGACAGAACGGATTGTTTCAGTGACATATCTAATCAGACTGAATAGGATTTGAAGAGCTGTCACCATCATTCAATTCACATCAATTTAAGCAGGCAGGAAGGGCGCGGAAGTTACCGTTTATAGAATGCAAGCAAGGTAGCTTGCCTGCCAAGCCGATAGGCGAAAGGGCGAACTGATCGACTTGCATGTGTTAAGCATATAGCTAGCGTTCCTTAGTCTCAATCACAGACCTTTTTCCATTTTAGGTGAACGAGGGTTACCGGCTCTACGACCTTGCAAGGCACTACAGTAGAGCTCTTTTGGCCTGCCACTTTCTCAATCGAAAATGTCAACTGTGAAGATTCTCGCGTTTCTTTATGTAATTTCAGGATTTCCTTTCGTTGATCGGATCGAGCACATAGGAATTTTTCCCTAAGTCAATTCATTCTCTTTGGCTGAAGTCAATCTTCATCAAGACAGCTGACCGAGTCGAAACCTACTGCTCAAGTCTGATGAATGCCCCGTTCATGAGCTGGTAAAGTCGAGATCAATCAACTGGGATCGGAGACTGGACGTCTATTTCACTATCCCGCTTTTGTCTAAGAAAGTCAGATGCCTATGCGGGATCATTATGAACAGGTTACGAGGCCTGAAGCGGAAGCGGCTATTGAACTGTCGGGGGGACTTGGATCAATCAAAGACACTAGTCGGTAAACCCGATCTCTTACAGGCACTGGAATTGGACGATATAGTGGCGGCTATGCATCCCGAGGAAAAATTCTTTGAAATTGGTACTGGCATCCTTGCTTCTGTCCCCGTTGCCTCTGATAGCTATGCCCCCGCCTCTCTTTTTGTCTCTGTGACTCGAGAAGCGAGTCTCGATCTCAAAAGGGTACTTGTATTAAAAAAATCGAGATCTTTCAGGTGCTCCCAGATCTGTAGCAGGCGATGGCTCTTGAAATGGGCTAGGGATGCCTAGAAAAGGTGAATAATTAGGCTATTCTGCTGCTGGTCATGGAAAAATGGATGAAACTGAAGGGTCTGCTTCGACGCTCCCGACCTTCAACTCCGAATTATGCTATGCCTTTCCTTTCGGGGAGCTTCCGCCGGCTCAGATGCTTTCTTTGCCACGGATGCCTTCGGTTTGAGGTCAGGGACTTTTTTTTTCGGCTGGTGGCTGTGATGCTAGGCTAAATGCTGTTAGTGAGACTCGGTAAACCCGGTCCATTGTAGGTGCTACTTCTTGCTCTTTTGCCCCCATTTCTCTGTGATTGGCTTTAGAACCGGGAAAAAAGAGTCAACAACAATCAATCAGTTATGCCTCTCCTCTTCCTGCCTCTCTAGCTGGCTTGATCTTAGACTCCGCTACCAGAGAAGAGCCCTTGTGTCCCTAGCTAATGGATGCCTCTTCCATTAGTGCTCCTTCCTCTGATGTCTCCGCTCGGTCAACCGTCTCTGGAATTTCTGACTTTTTCGGTTCTAAAGCCACTCCGCCCGCCATCCAGTGGATCTTCACCTGGCTAGGATTCTGACTCTCGAACGGGGGAAGGCAACCTATTAGATTGTTGACCCGACCTCAGACTTCGTTTTAGGCTGAAGTAATTGGAGGCCCATTACCCGATATGGGTATGGAATTCGTTTCACCTACCTGGTAGATATGTGTATTTGACCTCTAACCATACCTTTGCTATCTATGCTCCAACCATGATAATGATAGCGATTGGACGGTAGCAATTGGTGCTTATTTCGGGGATTCAACCGACCTGGATAAACCACTTCTGCCTTTGGCTTTGCCTCATACCCGGTCTAACTCAAACTTTGACTTTGCTATGCTTGCTTTGTTAGTATAGCAAAGTTTCTAAAGCTGTTAGCGCGTAGTCTGTCTGCTCTAAAGGAAGTCGATTTATTGATTCGTCCTTCTCGGATCGTCGTCGGTCCTTTTTTATTGGGCTCTCATGCCCGGCTAGACGATAAGATCAAAGTAACCCGCTTTAATTTAACCAACCTACTCTGTAATACTGTTTTCACCACCGGTTTGCCATGATTCATAAGCAGGAATCGTAGATCTTATCTAGGATGTTGCCGTCATCTTATAAGATGAAGAAGTCAAGCACATTTCTCTTCTTCCTAAGAAGTAAGGCTGACGGGCTAATAAGTCCCCGGAGCTTCAAAACAGGCCTTTTCATGCTCCGCAGAGGCCAATGAACTTCCGAAAGCTTCTTCTGATTGAGTGAACATACCGAGTACTTAAAAGTAGGGCATTGGATGGGACAAGCCGCTTCCTTTACTTTAAGCCGAGAGGGGTCGTCGCTAATCCTTTAGGCCGCTTCTTTCCACTTTCTACCTCTTAGTCGACTAACTCAAGTTCCTAAACGAGACAGCAGCTACCCCGCTTGCCTGTAAAGGAAGGAGTTCTTGTTCCGTTGACGTCGTCTAACTAATACATAGTTCTGAAATAGGGATTCATATGGATTGAATCATCATAATGATGACAGCTGCTACCTTCCCATTAGAAACCATCTATCTTTCTTCTTTTCCTTCGTACGAATCTTTGCTAACTTGACTGTGTTCGACGGCTGATGACCCCAATGTGTGAAATATCCACCTCCATGGGGATGCGCGACCGGGAACCATGTTGTCAGGAACTGAGCACTTTCTTGAAAGCATTGATTTGTGGTAAGACTAGAAGAGGAGATTGCTCTTTCGAAGCTAGTCAAGCGATTAAACAAAGTAATAAACCTTTCGAGTTCTTGATTTACGGCTAGAAAGAAGGACTAGAGCTTCATACCTTCCGGCTGTTCTTTCAAGATGGAAAATAATTGATCTGTAAAGGTCAGCGGTCGTAATCTGTTCGACCAGACCACGTCTTGCAACTCTTCTGGCGTCAGGGTTGCGGGAACCTGTGCTTCTTGGTTGAAATTGAAGAACAACTCCTTATGCTTTGGAGACGTTCTCAGCAACTCATAGATAGATATGTTACCTACGCCTCCGCTAAAGAAAGGAAGAACCGGGTAGCTATACGTTCCAAACAGCTAAGATATTAGTTATGCTTTAGCAACAGCTCCGTTCAGGGAGGGCGGGGATGAACACACCAAACGGCAAGCTACAAAGAAGGGTGAAACAAGCTACAAAACAGATCTGACTCCTACCTAAGGGGCATAGAACAAAAGAGAGTCAAGTCAAAGATAAGAGTTTAGTTATGCTGGGCAGTTGTCTTGGAGGAGCAGCCGCCACAGATGAAGGAGTTGCTTGAGGAAGATGCTTATTTATTTCCATAAGACCTACCTCATGGCTTGCCACTCTTACGACCAACATGGGATTGATTTCATACCTGGAGCAACTTGACCTAATCTGTCTCCTTCTAATTAGAAAAGGAGTCCCGCTAAGCACGAGGAACTGAGAAGGCAGGTGCAAGGGCTTTGATAGAGAGGGAAAGCAGACTCGACAACCACAGCCCAGTTAACTATTTGAATCAGGAGCTTCCGATCTCATCCCTTCAATCACCGTTACTCGATCCGAACTTGAACCATTCTCTTGCTACTTTTCTTTCTTCAAAAAAAAGATTGGAAGTGGAACCGATTTCCCGGAAGAGGGAAAGCTCCTTGCTCTGATATGATAAGAAAGTTCGCTCCCTCTCCCTGTCAACATACATGGGATTGAGCAGCCCCCTATCTCAGAGGGTTTACCCCATGGCCAGTTTGCGATGAAAGAAACTTCAGAATGCAGCCCACATAGTCCTATCAACATACAAGGCTTTTCAATCCAGTGAAAGACAGGTCGAAAACTTCCATATCTGATAGGCATTGTGCAAAGGAAGATTTTTGATGTCTGGTTCTATCTGTCTGTGCTTGGTCTGGACCCTTAGTTCTTGCAGGTGTAAGCGTGCTCCCCATGTAGTTTTCTTCGTTCCCGTGTAATCAGGTGCGAGTGTAACGAGTTTGTTTGAAATAAGTCCAATGAGATGATACGAAAACAAAGAGTTAAAAGCTGGCTTAGAAGAAAGTATAGTGGGCATGGTTTAGAAGGTAGGTTACCTGCTCGTAAGAGGCAGTCTAACTTAGTTAGAGGAATGCTCATCAGAAGGATAAGCAAGGTTTGATGAATTCTCCTAGAAGGAAGATCAAAAGTCAAGGTCTTCAATAGTAGTATAGTAGGGAACATATCACAACCAGCAAGCGTATTCACTATTCACGTCAACATTTTAGCAATCGAAGTCGGAGTGAGCCGATTCAATGTCTACAGGGCGTCTGTGTAACACATATCAAAGCGTCTGTTGCCAAGTCTAATATCTGATATCTGTGTTAGCTGCCTGCCTGTCTCTCCCTGCCCACGACATGGGTTGGACTTAGAGTCTCTTTCTTGTCTGTAGTTGGTGTATTCATATCTCTCCTTTGAATGGCATAGATCTTCGTAGTACCAGTCAGCTAACAGGATCGGCGTATGGGCAAGCAAAGAATCTAAAGTCATCCTTTCCTGTCAGTAGCCGGGTAGTGAAAAGACCTTAGGAGGGAGCGAAAAGCACAACTACAAGGGTTTGGTGAATCTCTCTTCCCCAGAGTTGGTATTCTATGTCAGGTCTCAAGTCAAGAAGTGAATCGATCTATAGAGACAGTGGCAAGTCAAAATAGAACCTCAACTCTTTTTCGGACTTTCCGCAGCTGGAAGGAACTAGTCTTTGAAATTAGCAAGAGGATCTAGGCACAAGGGCAGTCAGTGAGGGTGGTTGGAAATCAGCGACAAGCCAGCCAGTCTTCTATCATTAGTCAGCTGACCTTAGGAGCGATCGATCTCATGGCCAAGCCAGTACCAAAGCTCAAATCCGGACTGAGTGTGAGTGTCGCAACATCGTTGTTTAGACTGAATTCAGTACAGTAATAGGCAGGTCAGTCTTTTAGATTTATGGTATAGCGTAGCTAGTGAGTGAAGCATCAGTTAATATCTTCTTTCTCTTTCTACACCTACTTTCTACCCCTTCTGTCTCGTCACACCCTTCTTTCTCTTTCTACCCCTACTTTGATCTTCTGGAGACAAGTACGGGAAGGTTCTGTTAGTGAGCAATAGCTAGGTGAAAGCGGTTTACTCGTGTACTAGCACTAGCGCGTACTTTGCTCTGTGTTAGGTCAGGGAAGAGAATTGCATATCCCATAGCCGATCGAGGCGGTAAGAAAACTCGAGATCCTACAGATCTAATGGAAGGGAAGCCTTAACCGATAACTTCAATGAACTTCGGTAGGAGCATATCCTTTCTTTGATTAACCGATGGAATAGAATGTTCCTTTTTTTGTACCGGACATACGCGTCCCTATAGTTAAAAGAGCTACAGGAAGGTAATACCTTACTTAAGACCCATTGCCGCTAGGCGAAGAAGAGGTACTTTAGTAACTCGACTGAAAGGAGAGGCCGGCACTAGAAGGATCGGCAGAATAAATAGCTACAGCTACATTCGAGGATCAAGCGACTGTGCCCCTGAACTCCACAAAGGAAGCCTTTCCTTCTTTATATACGCTAATGGAAGCAATTCAATTACCAAGGTTGAGGCAGATCCGGAACTACAACCTATACTATCTCGGCTCAAGGAAGGAAAACCAGCAGAGGATAAAAAATGTGATTTCCTTCAACTATAGAATTGACTGTATTTGCAGCTATTGTTTCATATTCCGATTCGTTGTCCTTTGATGCGGCTACTAAAGGAGTTTCATTGCCAGTCAATTCAATAGCTGCTTCGCACTCCACTACAACAACCAGTGGGCTTTGATTACAGAGATTCCCGAGAGACTAGAGGGATGTTAATGTGAATACGCGGGATCCCAGTGTTCGTACAGGCGATGGGCAATAGGACTCTTTTCCCCAATAGCAAAGTCTCGAAGAAAAAAGGCTAGGTACTTGAGTGAGTCGAGAAAGTTCTCATGTCATATTCCTCGGGAATTGCCTTGACTTAACAAAGGAAGAACTCAAAGCTTGAGAGAATACTTGCTGAAGCGGATCCTCCCGGTAGATGCCCCAGTGACTGAAGGGCGAGAATCATCCCGAATGGTGAAAATCTAATGAAAGGATCGGAAGGAGCATGGCAAGTCCTGCCAGATGATACTTTTTCAGAGACCGCCATAGAGATAGAGTATGATATGATAGATGAAGAGGAGAAATCCGTCGGATAGATGAGTGTTAGAACCGAGCATTGAACCTTATAGGAGCCAGAAAGAACTATTGAGTCTCGCTTGCTTTATAGTTGTGGGTCCGCCTTCTTAAATAAGGTTCGTGCCCGCCCCACTGTCTTATTGGTAAAGAAGAATCTCGCCCTGGGGTTCCCTTTATGGTCTCTTTCTCTTTGAATTGAATTGAAAGTTCGTATAGAGAAAAATGGCCTACTTCCTCTAACTGGGGCCTTCCAATTTCATCTTCCTATAATCGAACTGAGGCTGATGCCAGGAAAAGAGAGAACAGAACCAGACAGACTAGCTATCTATCGATTGTAAATGGTATGCGGATACAGGTCGAAGAAGATGAACTATGAGTTGACTGCGTTAATTAGCTGCCTGCTTCTTGCTTTCGTCCGGTAAGGATTTCTTTTTTTTTCCTCCTTTGCTTTCGAAAAAACATTAGAGTCAGAAGCAATTGGCCAGAGTATGATCCGACTGATTGAACTCATAGATGTTCAAGAAGTTCTACTTTTGACCAGTATGAAATGAGTTGAGTTGAGAACTCCTTTCCGGACCTCTGATGTACTACAGAAGAATCATCGATCGGGAACAAGAAAGAATCTGATGTCTAAGCAACGCACCTCTCTCTCCTACTATATGAAAAGCGGTGCCACTAGAAGAATCTTTCGGAAAAGGCTCACTCACCATAAAACATCTATGCCCTATCTACACCAACTACTCTAGGAGTCCCCGTCAACGGGTAGAAAGAAGGGAGTGTACAACGAGATGTTAGAACTCTTTCTCCATGTCGGGTCGCTTTACCTAGACGACCTCCTGGAACTGAAAGATTCGAAATCTCTATCCCTACCGTCTGAAAGAGAAGAGATAATGCTCAAAGACAGCTAGAGTATTCCGTAGCAAGAAGAATAGATCCATATGGGGATGGGGAAACTGCATAGTCCAGCCTTGTCTCCCCCTCCTTTCTTTCACCTTTCCAATGCGCGATCGCCATATTCTCCATTCGCTTCAAGCATCGGCCCTAGCGAGACCAAGAGATATGTCAACTGGACGGACAGAACCACGATTGACTACGAAGATGGAAAGAGCCAAAAGACCGGTCTCCTTTGATCTCCTCTTCCCTCCCGTACGCTTGTTTTCAAAGAGAAATGGGTTGGTATTCTATTTCGAATCTTTCTTCTTTTCTCTGACCTTCACTCAATAACTGGTAGTACTCTTTTGAGATAGCAGAGGAAAAATCATTACTTTTGCTGTAAGAGATGCGAATCCTTTCTGTTGATAAGGTAAAGCCTTTTTCAAGTATTTTTTAGGTTCAAAAGTATAATTTCAGTATGTAACCACACTTATTCCAGAACCTCCGTGCTTTGCACTAAGTGAGTAATCTTCCCCGTCATTGATTTAGCAGATGAGCTTCTAACAAAGTCTAAGGCACAAGCAGCCGGGGAAAAGCATAACCACCTGTGCGATTTAGCCCGAGGGATACCCTTTCGAGCGTAAAGAAGTCGCATTTTATCTAGAGAGAGCAAGGCGGGAATCGAAGCAATGCACATGTTGAGCGAAAAGAGAGATTTACAAATAAGTAAGTAGCAGCCGAAAGAAGACTCTCTTTTAGAATTGAAATGGGGACCTATGAAGAGGTAGGCCCTGTAAACAAGAGGTCTGCCCTGAGCCAAGGGGCTAGGATTAGGAAGCATCCACAAGAGCGATGCGATTAAATAGCCCATTATCCACTAGGCCACTATAATCCATCTATTGGGTGTTTCATCCATTATTCAATTAACTTGAGTTATCAATCTGGGCACGGTTGAAGCATAACCAAGGGGTACTACCATCAACGCTAAGTCACAAGGCTGGATTAACTCAAAGAGGTATGAAGGGAATACTGAAGAAAGCAGGAAAAGGTCTGCAAGCCTCCCGCATTGGATGTAGTGTATTTTTTCCTGATAAAGGTGCCCGCATTCCTGCTTTGGAAGAATAGCGGTCAAAGTCAAGGGAAAGGGGCGCTTCAAACCGGAAACGCTACGTCTCGCCGAGATTACCTCGGAAATCAACTAGGAATGCTTGGTTACACAAACCCTAAAGAGACACTCTTACACAGCCGCCTCTAACTCGCACTCTTTCTTTACAAAGATCTTGTCTTTCCCTCTTATACAAGTCGAATCTCTTTCTCTCTCTCTTTGCTCCAAGCCAACTGGTAATTGGCCACATCCTCTTGTCAGCGATGCTCTTGATTTCCGAGTTGTTTGCTAGGCTGGTTGATCAAGGATTTTAGCTCTCTGAGCTAGGAGTTTGATTTCTTGGCTTTGTGGACCCTTATAAACCAGCTTTAGTAGCTCGATATCGTACTTTGGATGTTGTTCTTTCCTTTCGATCAACCAATCTTGTTCTAATTCCTTCCTTTCTCACCACCCTTTTAGATAAGATTTTCCCTAGAACAAGGTTACACTACGTGATTCCATATTCTGATAATAACCAAAGAAGGAATCTCACCTTAGACATTATGTCCAGAGCGCATCTTTCAATCAGCGGAGCTTCTGTGACTCTCTCTGTTTATCGACGTATGAAGCCTCCTTAAGCTTGTGAGCTATCCTTATTCTATAACCTAGCTGCCAGCAAGACTAATCGGATTTCTTTATAGTTGAAGGAGCCGGCATCTCTTGAAATCTGTTCTAAAGAGAGTGAGTCGACAGGCGAAGAAAGACTCTGATTAGGAACTGGTTCACTTCCCTTTCTATATAGATATAGAAGAGAGAGCGAACGGTTGGAAGCAAGAAAAGAAGCTCTGATTCTGTTGTGGGAAATCCATCTCGCTATAGTATAGGTGGAAGTCTATAAATAAAGAGAAGTCTCTGGAATTTCTGAATTCTGTCAGATTGCAAAGAGCAGCAGACTACCCTTCTCTAGCTCTAGTTATCAAGCTTTACTTCCTTGAGAACGGATGAACTCTTACTTATTGGGACCTGCCCCAGTTACCTCTCCTCTGTTCAAGGTTTGAAGTACTATGTTATTTTCATCGACAATTATTCACAAGGTTCTGTTGGATGTTCCCGTAACTAAGTTTTTCTTTCTTACTTTTTATGTACTTTAGACTTTTAGACTTTTTTTAAGTGTGGGGAAAAGGGCGCCCTCTACTTCTACTTTTAACTAAACGCGAACAGCCGGCATTGCAAGCAAATAGAGAGCCCCCGCCCGTTTGAGTCGTTGCGAGCCGGAAAGCGTACCGGCAGTTTTAGTCGCGAAAGGACCGCTTGCTTTATTTTCTTATTATTCTAAATAATAGATATATAAGATTATCTATCTATAAACAATAAGAAAATCATTATTTTATCTAATTGGGCATTCCTGGGAAGAGGAAGAAGCAGATAGAGCAAAGGCCTCCCCTTTGCTTGCGTCCGCTCTTCCCGAAGTGAGCAAATTGCATGTAGAGATCCGTAGGGGCTTATAGTTTAATTGGTTGAAACGTACCGCTCATAACGGTTATATTGTAGGTTCGAGCCCTACTAAGCCTACCACCCCTTACTCTTCACCCGAAATAAGGCAGTCGAAGTCGGCACAAGAAGTAGGCGGAGTAGAGGCAGCAGTTGCGGGTTCAGGTGCGGCTAAATCAATATCCCCGTCTGGGGTTGGCGGAGTTGGTAGGAAGGCACGGTTGGCACAGTTCTCTAAATAAGAGATGTCTCATCCGGTTGAGCTGTCGCAATCAGTCTTTCTTTCTCTTCCTGGTAGCAGAACGAATAGGAGATCCAACATGACTGTATTAAGCCTGTCGCAATCAGGGTTAAGCTAGCTCATTGCCAGAAAGCAAACAGGAGCTCTTATTTAGATCAGAGGACGCTCATCCCAGGCAGGCAGCAGGGGCTTCGGGTGGAAGGAATGAATCAAGTAAGGTGCGAATACTGTGTTTCAGTGATTGATTTCTCCCTGAAATTAGCTCCGCTACTCTACGGACTTCCTTACTTAGCCTTTCTTTCCCATTTCACTAATGGAAGAATTGAGCCAAAATTATCAATGAATTGAGCGAGGGTGAGAAAGGTCAGTAATTGAATTTCTAACTATATAAATCTGTTCTCAGTGAGCTTTTAATCTTTTAATTGGTAGTTGGTTAAGGATTGGAGGAATGGGAGTTAGATCTGTCCCTAGTTCCCCTAGCCCTAGATTAAGGTTACTTGAAACAGGAGATAGAGTTTTTCTAAGGAGGTTAGCTGGTTAGTGATGGGAAGCCAGTTGTTAGTCCCCTTAGCCCTGGATTGAGGTTAAGAGTTTGTAGGGAAGAAAGGTAGAGAGTAGAGGGAGAGTCGATTTGGTAAGTTGGTTTGGTAAGCCAGCCCCTTCAACAAGGGATTTCAATGGCAACAAACCGCTCCCCAGGATGAGGCAAAGAATGGGGTGGGGGGACTTCCAGTTGTTCGAGCAAGCAAATGGCTAGCAGGGCCGAGGAAGCACAATGAACGGGACGACAGAAGTTCCACAAGACCGGAGATAGATGTTCTTCTTCCCTGAGAAAATTTCTCTATCTATTAGCGAGTTTCGCCGTACAATCCGGCTGAAATGAATGGAATGAGGAACCGGGAAATCACTATAGTTGTGGGAATTCGTCGGATGTAACTCATCCGGAAGTGCTGGTTCGAATCCAGCTCGTGACAAAGCCTGGGTCATATGGTATGGAACAATCTTTTGATTATGAAGCGCCCGCTAAAGAAGAGATACTTAAGTGTGGTAGGAGGGAGCTAGGAGTCTTCCATTCATGCCCAGACTCGGATGCTAGAGAATAGTCTGGAATGCTCTCTTTCTATCTATGCCGCATCTTCCATGAACGAAACCAAGAGGGAAAGCAGAGAAAGCATTAGTCCATTTGTAGTTCCGGCACTCTGTATGTGCTGCTATGATAGTAAACTCTTCCTGCTCTCTTAAGTTAAGGATGTTCGTGACCTAATAGGAGTGACTGTAGTCAAGCAAGCAGAAGGTTACAGGCAAGCGGGGTAGTGTACTTTTATCCGCAAAGAATGGGATTGATGCTCAGCTAAGGAATCCCCTACTAATCGAAAGAGGGGATTCAAAAGTGTCTATTCAATATTCCAAGGTGCGAAGGGTCGATGTAATTGAGAAAGAAGCGCTCTAGCTCTCACTTGAAGTACAGGAAGGATAATGACTCGAGCTTTTCCGAATGAAAGGCGATAGGGGACGTACCCTAAGGAAGCAAGAAGGGAGGATTTTCTTTACTTTACCGCTATAACCTTTCTTTCACGAGTGAACCCGGGCACGAGCCTACCTTGTAAGAACCAAAGAATGGGTACCTAGGGAATGAACCGAGTTAGAGGCGTATGCTTCCTTGACCGATAGTTTGAGTTTGTGGAACAAGTTGTAGAGATCCCATACTTTCTAGTACTTGTGGAGAATCCCAGTAAGAAATAGCTTGAGTTGTTGGTGGAAGTGACCTAGACATATTTCTATTTATAGGTCCTAGCCCTTTTCTTCCGCTAGGTAAGTTGGGAAGTCCAACATAAGGCAGGTCAATTACATCGAACCTCAATTCCATCGAGCCTTGCTTAGTCTGCCTATGGTTGATAGTGAACAGCAGATATGCTACATCAAGCACTCACTTTCTGTCTATTGGCCTTAGAACACTCCTTCTTATGTTGTTTTCAATGAAGGGGAAGTGATTCCTGAGTTCCTTCGCACAGGGTTTGAATTAAATTAAGTAAGTTTTGTCTACATCTTCTCTGCAATTACATCAGGAAAGAAATCAGATACTGATGCTGAATGCACTTAAAAAATCCCATGTCTGAATGCCTTAAACTTCGATTCCAAAGAAAGCAGAACTAGACTGCCAACGATCTGACGATAGAGAGTCTTCACCTTGTGGACCTGCTTTCGCCTAATGGTAATCTTTGTCTTTCCTTCTGTCTTTCGAGGATGGGATTGGGTGTCCGAGTACCGATAACTAAGTAGATGTCTCACAGGCGAAGGATTAGACGTCTTTGTACTCACGAAGCAGGTCTACAGCTTTATGTTTTACCTCAGGTGGTAGAGATTTTCCCACCTGGACAACTTTGCCCGAGTTTGAATTGGGGAACGAACGATCTAAGTAAGGAGGTAGCTCCAGGAAGGTAGTTCTTTGACCCAGTTCAGTGAGACGCTCCGCAAATGTTGAAAGAATAAGCGATGACATTTGTATGGTCTTGCTGTTGATGGTACCCCATTTTTAGGTACCATCAACAGCACCCAATCCATACTTTGTCTCACGTCAAATGGATTAGCGGAAGTCAACTTCTTCCTACTTATTTTTGCATGGTAGAAAGTAATAGCATATCCCTCTTCCTCCACAATTCTTTCTAGATCAGTTACGTGTGATCAATGCAGAAATTCCCATCTTGAATAAATTTATTTAGGCGAATTGGACGGAAAAAATGACACTGGGGAGTTGGCTTAGAATTTAAAATAGTAGAGTAAGAAATGAAACAAAAAAGGCCATGAATGAAGAAGTTGAACAAAGATAGTTAGCATAAATAGGACTCCAGTAAGCATCGGAGTAGATCTCTACTAAACAAAGCCAAAGTCATGCATTAAAACACACTACTTTGCGTCTACAGACACTTATTTAAACCTTATAAAAATAAAAAGAGTCGACGGACTCTTCTAGTTTCCCCCGTGCACGTGGGAGACAGCCTCCACTATGAGTGCTTGCTGCTCCGCCCGCAGCGCTTGCTGCCTCCCCTCCAAATCCTCGATACGCTCTCTGGCAGCGCGAATGCGCGCTTCTTTCCTGGCAGGATCCAGTGTTCTAACACTCCTCAAAAAGAGGTTTAGCACTCTACGGCGCTCTTGAATCTCATTTTGCAGTTGCCCCATTTCGGCAGCAATTGCAGAAAGCCTGTTTGCAGCATCCATATCCATACGTGCAAGTACTCAATTTCTTTGATTTGAATTTGATGAAGTGAAGACACTTATCGAGCCTCCATTTATAGAGTGGTAGAGGAATCTCGCCATGCAGTACGAATTGCATGGCTGGCACAATTCTGATGACTACTATAACCACGCTGCCTGTATGAACAAACAAACTTTGCAGAACCGTTTCACCTAATCGATCGTGGTGAAGTCAGCAATGGATTCGGCGGATCATCCACGTCACGAATTGGATGGCAGGCCCAATTCTGACTAGTTCTCCGCACTACTTTTCTGCAGTTAAAATACTCTTATGCCTATTTAGTTAAAAACTGGCTGGCTCTGGCTACCAAACAAAAGATCCCCAAATCACACTGCCTATATGAACAAACAAGCTTTGTACAACCAGCTTACGTGGAAAAGATTCCATATTCTATGCCAATGGACTCGTGACATCCATGTACTGAGTCGTCAAATGAGCCACGTTAATAAAGCCCAAGCTTATACGCATTGGCCCACAGGGTGCCCCAATAGGGCCCGAATGCAAGACCCAAGCCTACATGGACCCATCCTACAAATGAAGACTTGGGCCTGTTTCGATGAAAGCCCGCAGAAGGGAACAAGCCTACCCATCATCAAAGCAAGCCCAAATGCTTGAATGACCTCATTGTCACTTCATCCCTCTCCTTTCAGTCGAGTTCCTTCGGACCTCTTCTTGATGAACTCCACCTGGAGCTGAAGTTGATTCTTCTCTTCTTTGAACTACTGGTTCTAGGGAGATGTCTCTTGAAACCTTCTGCCTTGAGCCATCTGAACCTTCTTTACTGGTTGATGCATTGCTATACTCTGCAGGTCCTTGTACACTTGCTCCTCATGGAATCTCACATTCCTACTGACCACACACTTCTGTGCTAGCACACACCTTCCAATAACCAAATCTTGTATCCCTTGGATGGGTAACCAATGAAAATGCCCTTCATTGCTCTGGGCTTCCCTTGATCAGTGTGAACGTATACAACAGACCCAAACTTCCTCATATGCTGATAACCAGGTTTCTTTCCCAACCAGACCTCTTCAGGGGACTTGAAACCAATAGATGCTGATCTATTGATAGTATATACTGAGATAGCTGCAGCCTCTGCAGCACACCAAAACAGCTCTTCAAGTCCTGATTCATTTAGGAGGCACCTGACCTTAGCACACTCCTTCCGAGTGATTGTTCTGTTCATCCTAGCACACTCCTGCTTTTTCAGTTAAACAAAGGTAGCATACTGCTTTGAGTTGCTAAAAGGCCTCTCAGCAACTCCGCTGTGGAGTATAAGTGCAGGTCCTGTGTCTCTCTATCCCATGCTTCACACAGGCCTTCCTAGAGACTTCCTCAGATATACTGACTATCAAGTATTTTCGGATTCGGATTGGAGGTGGCTTGGGCCTTCCTCCTTCTAACTTCGGCTTTCTGGTAGTGGGCGTGCGACTCCGTTCCTCTCCTGACAGTGTCCGTCAGTACCTCTCCTTCTATTGCTGTGAGTGTTTCCTGTTTGAAGTGTTTCACCTGCCTAAAGTGTATGAAATGTGGCCTCTGTCATAACTCTAGACTTTCCCTCAGGTTTAATAAGAGTCTTCCTTTTCTTAAAATGATAGACTGAAGTCAGGTTTAATAAAGAAGTTTCAAATGAGGCAAAGAAAAGAGAAGTCTTGTGATTTGCTTAACACACGCGATTTGTCAATACTGTCCGAGTGTTTATCCGAATACTAAAGGTAGCGAAGAAAAAAGTTGTGATTATTTGGGTGTATTGTCGAGACTTTGTTGAGTGGTCGTAACGTCCGTTCCGTGATCTTGTTGGAGTATAGTCCTAGGGCTTCTGGGTTGTCTTAATATAGAATGTAGCTCCCAAAACTTCAATTCGAGGAAGAAAGTTTTGATCTGTGAAACCCTATTGTAGTAGAGTTTGCACCACTGTTTCTCTTTTCCTGAGAATTTATTCAATTATATAATAATAATTCTGTTCTGTCGAAATGTGTTTGTTGTATTTTCCTACTTCTCTAATTGGTGAGAGCATTATCTTTTGTAGGACGATGCTGATTGGTTCGAATCCAATGGTAGGCCTGGGCTCTCCTACGCAGGAGAATCAGGCAAGGTATGATTTCCTGCCATGAGCTAGCGTTCCTAGCAAAACCATCAGCTAGGTTGGAATTTCCTGCTTGAGCTAGTTTACTAGCAAAAATTTGACCGTTCCACGGGACTCTCAAGAACTCGTAGACTATGGAACCCGTTCCAGGAAAGCGCGAGAGTTACTAAATACCTAACCCCTCTCTGATAAGGTAATAAACGAAAGAATCTCAAATTTATGAAAAATCTGGTTCGATGGCTGTTCTCCACAAACCACAAGGATATAGGGACTCTCTATTTCATTTTCGGTGCCATTGCTGGAGTGATGGGCACATGCTTCTCAGTACTGATTCGTATGGAATTAGCACGACCCGGCGATCAAATTCTTGGTGGGAATCATCAACTTTATAATGTTTTAATAACAGCTCATGCTTTTTTAATGATCTTTTTTATGGTTATGCCGGCGATGATAGGTGGATTTGGTAATTGGTTTGTTCCGATTCTGATAGGTGCACCTGACATGGCATTTCCACGATTAAATAATATTTCATTCTGGTTGTTGCCACCAAGTCTCTTGCTCCTATTAAGCTCAGCCTTAGTAGAAGTAGGTAGCGGCACTGGGTGGACGGTCTATCCGCCCTTAAGTGGTATTACCAGTCATTCTGGAGGAGCAGTTGATTTAGCAATTTTTAGTCTTCATCTATCTGGTGTTTCATCCATTTTAGGTTCTATCAATTTTATAACAACTATCTTCAACATGCGTGGACCTGGAATGACTATGCATAGATTACCCCTATTTGTGTGGTCCGTTCTAGTGACAGCATTCCTACTTTTATTATCACTCCCGGTACTGGCAGGGGCAATTACCATGTTATTAACCGATCGAAACTTTAATACAACCTTTTTTGATCCCGCTGGAGGGGGAGACCCAATTTTATACCAGCATCTCTTTTGGTTCTTCGGTCATCCAGAGGTGTATATTCTCATTCTGCCTGGATTCGGTATCATAAGTCATATCGTTTCGACTTTTTCGGGAAAACCGGTCTTCGGGTATCTAGGCATGGTTTATGCCATGATCAGTATTGGTGTCTTAGGATTTCTTGTTTGGGCTCATCATATGTTTACTGTGGGCTTAGACGTAGATACCCGTGCCTACTTCACCGCAGCTATAATGTCTGTGGGCTGTCGGGCCCTTTCTTTTTTGTTTTCTAAAATGGGTTGCTCTGGCGGTCTGGCCCTCGCTCTTAATATTATTTTATGGGCGGCCGCTAGAACAAGCATCGACTGCTCCATGATGGCCCCCTCGGAGTCCTCCAGTCATAATCAGACGGCTGCCTCGTCTGAGTGGTTGACGTATACGTCGGATATGGTCGAAAATTCGAACAGTTCCGGACGTAGCTCGTCGGTCAATCAACCGATTCCTGAGGAACAGGCTTTGGAACGGGAGGCTAGGGCGCAAGAGCACGCCCGCATCTCGGCGGAGATCGAAAGTATTATGGCGGCCTGCGAGAATGAGGAGGCCGCCATGATACGAAAAGCCCACGTCCTCTTGCATCAACGAGGGATAACTCTCGAGGATCAAGAAGATGTCAAGCGTGCTCTCCAGTTGGCTCTCCATAACGACTGGGAGCACGATATCGATGAGCGGAAGAGGCATTTCACCATGCTCAGGCGCGACTTCGGAACAACTCGCTGTGAAAGATGGAATCCTTTCATTGATGAGCTCAGGGGCTTGGGGAACCATCAGGTGAATGCCCGGCATTACGTAGATTAACATGAGAAGGCATACCGTGGTGGGGTCTTCGACTGGGGTGAAGTCGTAACAAGGTAGCCGTAGGGGAACCTGTGGCTGGATTAAATCTTTATATAGAAAGCTCAGTTGTTAAGCAAAGACTGGAGAGGCCCCCGGTCGAGATGTAGTAAGTAGGTCTCCAATACTGGGAGACTGAGGAGAATGGGAGTTTGTGGGTTGAGGGTGGCATGCTCCCCAGGGCCCTCTTTTTTGAGATAGATAGGGTAATGCATTTCAGTATGAATTGAATCTAGCAGTGTAAACCTGAGATTTGCAAGAGTTGGCCTTATAATTACATGTGTACAGGTCTAGGAACCATACACCCTAGAAAGAAAGGGATATCGCCGAGACAGGACGAATTCCTCAATTGAGACAGCTACTCTTTCCTGCAGAAGTAGGATTCGCCGGATTCACAGCTGGATGGAAGACAGGTCGATTTACCGCTGTACGATGGTCAGGTATGGATCTTCAGAGTAGAGAGGTCTTTCTCAGTTAACCAAACTCCAGAGACGATTACAGCTAGCTTTGGCTTTCTGGTTGGGAAATCATGGAATTCCTAGCTTTGGCTTGTATGTCGGATTGTGCGGTCACTTGGTTGAGGATTACACAGTGAAAGTAGGACAAACTGAAGGTGCGATTCAAACCTACTCGTGAAGGAACAGTAGTGGGTCAGATGCGTGGAGGAACAATAGTGGGTCGGATGTTGAGATTGTTTACAGAGTTCCGTGAGCAAATAGTTATCCGTTCCATCGATTGGAGGATAGAGAGGTGTTGAACCAAGAAGACCTGTGTCGTTACCGATGATAACTTCTTTCGATAAAGAGCTTGCGTGATTAGTAAGGTACGAATTGATGACATCGCAGCGATTGGGGGGAGTTGGATAAAGGAGCTTGCAGCACACCGGACGAACTCGGCACCGATGTTGAACAATTCCAGCTCAGAGCATCCAGAGGAAACTCCAAAGCAGTCCGAGAGTATGGAATCGAAAGACTGGGCTTTCACTTTAGAGTTCCGTTCTAGCACCTAAGCCTCATTTCAGAGTTCAGTTACCGATACTCCATCAGCTATAGTACCTCCTCCGAGTCTCCATCCACTGTGCTGTCTAAGGATCCCTCTGTGCTGTTCAAGGAATGAAGCAGCCATGGCGGTTGTGTGGGCTGCTGAGTGTACTCCTACGTACGTACGATACTATCGATATGCGTGAGGAACTAATTCGTGGGAGAAATCTCTTATTCCGAGATGTCAAAAGCCAAGGAGTCGAGTTCCCCACTACAGCGGAGATACGGGTGAATGATGAAATCCGAGTTGAGGAATTCCTCGAGGAAGCAAAGCTGTAAGCGGGTAAGGGAGGAAGTAGTCAGCGGGTAAGGAAAAGGTCAATCGATAGGATCGGGATCTCAGAAACGAAAGAACTATCCCGTCTTGCCGACTTAATAGGCATTGTAAAGCAAGGCTTGAACACTCACACAGGTATACACCATAGATAGGACTTCCCAGACCTCTCGGTACACACGATAGATGGGAGTGGAACCTTCCCTTCCGTCAATTAGAGATGTTCAGACGGAGAGATAACGGAGACGAGTGGGATAAACGATTCCCTCCCCTGAGAGTGAGAGCCCAGAGTCAACGAATCAAAAAGGGAGGAGAAGGAGATATCGGAGACGAGATACCAATTGACCGAGCTGACGATGATACCGAGCGTACTCGACACAGGATTCCTTAATGGAGCTCACAGGATTCCTTATTTCTCATGCGCATACACCAATAAGAGGAGAGCGGTATAGACGCAACAGAGACCTTCAACCATCTCTTCCCTCATCACTAAATTCTCTAAGGGGAGAAAGGCTCAATCATAGACGAGACGGGGCTGTTCCTTTCTTTGAGAATGACTAGGGGTTAGAGGAGGAGCTTGCGGGTCGTCTACCTTAGGGCTAGCGCTCTAGTCTATGCCTTTCGACTTGGCTGTTGGGGAATGGCTTACGGGTCCAATATATCAGAGGGATATGGAAAGTAAAAGAAACTTGGTCACTACCCTGGCGCAAAGTGACCTTGCCACCACCTCCTATACCATCTCCACGCCGATGCGGATAAAGAATGAACAGATCGAAGACAGATCAGAAACGGATCTTGCGAAGAAGCCACTTCAGGGCGAACATAGATAGAAGATCCGATCGGAGACACTGTAATGAAGAAACCACTCCTCAATGGAGAAAGGATTCCTCGGCCATGCCATGTCCCGTTTCCCCTAAGGTCTCCTACGCAGGCATCGGAAATGGGATCTCCCCTTCCACGACTGAAGCATCTCGATTTGCTATACCACCATTTGCACCTGCTGATCAAGCCAGGTAGCATACATTGGGAAGCTGTGGCTACTTGACTCAACTCGGGGTAGGCTGTGGTTGTCGAGTCTGCTTCTTCTCTATCTAATTCTTTGATTTGTCTGTTAACAAAGGCAAGCACTCTGTCTTTGCCCTAGCGTCGTAGCGTTCATTCTCCTTTGTCGCAGCTTTCATTCTCCTTCGGGGATTCTGGGATGAAGCAGCTAACCTTCCAGCCATTTCTTTACCCTTCTATACCCAGCCCCATTTCTAGTTCTCTCTCTTCCGAACCCCTTCTTTACCCAACCCTAGTTCTAGTTCTCTTTCACAACCTAAGCTGACTCTCTCACCTGAGCCTAGTTCTCTTCCGAATGGCACGCAAAAGGTGGTTGTTGGGGCGCGCGGAGCCTATCGCATATAACGGGTACGGATACTATCGCATAGGTAAGGATCAAAGAATACCCATTGCCATCCAGACAAAAGAAGAGGGAGCAGGAGTGTGCTTTGCTTCGCTAGGAAAGAAAACAGACCATTGCCACTGATCCGAGGAAGCGGGAGGGGGAAGAAGACCATTGCCACTTATCCGAAGAGGGAGGAAACTCTTCTCTTGCTGCTTCTTTCTAAGGAATCGGAAGAGTTCGAAGTGCGGATTCAATTCATTCGTACAATGCTAGGAGACTTTTCATGTCATTCCCATTTAGGTGCGAATGCGGCTACCATTTCCAAGTCTATCATTTCGGAATCCCAGTATTAGCCCTCCTACGACTCCAACCTTCCTACAACTGCAATATAGACGGAAAGGAATCCGAACCAGCGGGCACAGGCAAGGAATCCCAGGCCGAACTAGACGCCAGACTCCCCCATCTGCTATCCTCTCCGTTGAGTCATGTATACCTCTCCTTTTAGTGGAGTTCTGCTTTTAGTCGAGTTCTGCTCCCCTCGAGTAAGACCAAACGTCAGACGGATGGAGATATGGTAGTCCCACAGATAAAGATAAGACGCTTCATTCGGAGCTACATCAGAGTTCAGTGCGAAGGTTTCTCCTCGACTCCGGTTTGACGGAGGTATGAGTCTCGTTGCTACTTCGGACCTCTCGTCTATTCTTTGGTTACTTTCTTTTTGGATCATTCAGTAGCTCAGACGAGCGGAAAGAAAACAGAGCGGAAAGAAAGCAGCACAGCACAGAGGTCTCAGTCCCCCCGAAATGGAATTGGAGTCAAGGGCACCTTTATCGTTACCCAATTGTCAGGAAGAAAGCAGCTTCAAAGGATGCAGTGGAGTGGGCAGGTCGTCCTATCGTTTGATTGTGACAGTCCAGCCTTTCATACGAGAAATGGCGGTGACCGTTTGCCCTAAACAAATCTCTCAAGATGTAACACATATGCCTTCTCGTGGAGCACTCCCAGAAAGAAGCTACCCTGAAGCCTGATCGTGGTTGGAAAAGGCATTTCATTGACCGAACCCGACCCATCCCACCGAGAGTGCGAACTGCTCTTTATTCGCTTCATAGCTGTCTTTGCATAGGAACCTCTGATTGAGCCCGCGGAGTCGCCTTACTGCTTGAGTGAGTAAGCATTCAAGATTGTTGAGCTTGGCTCACTTCAGCTTCAGAGCTGGCTATTGCTTGCTTAGAGGAGGAAGCAGGCGTGTGATGCTTCCCGCAATGGAGCTAGCACCCGAGGAATGCCTCTTTATACTCCAGAAGATTAGAAACACTCTGTGGAACTGCAAGTGGCGTATTGGAGACTGCACAGCAAGTAGCGTAGTGGAGTGAGCGAGCATCTTATTTGCCCGGATGGAATAGAGGTTTATCCTATTCTCTGTAAACAGAAAGGGAAGTTGTGCCCAATGACTGGAATAAGCTAGTACGATAGATTATTAGTTATGGACTACTCCTTAAGCTAGAGGAGACTTGTTTGTCTGGGATAAATTGTCATTCTAGACCCGATTGGAAAGATTGAATTGAAAGCAAGAACATAGACCTGACGAGAAAGACCCACATTTTGAATATTAACTTATGATAATCAAAGGGAGTCGTGGTTACGGGTAAGGCGTTCCTCGGAGAGAAAGTGGTCAGGTTGACTTTCGACGTCGTGTCATCTCGTATTTTATATCTTATCAATAGTTAGATAAGATTGAAAGAAAACAAAAGAAGAGTGCTGTGGTCTTGCTATGGCTCTGGCGCCGAAAGGCCCCTCTTCGTTTCACTCGAGCCTCCCCTCTCGTCCTCTCCTCTGGTAGGATACAGTAATAAGACTGTAAGCGCATCTGAGCGCCTTTTTCCCGCGACAATATATGGACACTAAGGTTAGTGCCATAGGGCGAAGCGGGACATGTTCGACCTCACGTCTAACCAGCGTCAGGGCGAACGAGCCCCCTAGCTCTTTCTTGTTTGAAGACCGGAACATTAGCAAGATGGATTAGGATGGCTCTTCGGGTAAGCCCCGTAGGAATACTAGCAAATCCAATGTTACATGTATTTTAGGGCAAGGAAGGGCTATCTTTACTCTTTAGTTTGAGAGGGAGAAGGCTTCCTTTTCCGCGTAGGCAGATTAGCAATCCATAGTCTTACTAAAAGAGTCTTGGACTTAGATTTCCTCCTCCTCGAGGATGATGGATCCGGGGAGGGGGAAAAGATGAGGCTAGTAGAACCTTGGACGACACGCAAGTCAACTATGCCACCACCGCGCTTACGCTCCTCGCCATAGTTTTCGCCTTTGAGAAGTTTAGGTCTTACTTGGTGGGCTCCAAAGTAATAGTGCACACGGACCACGCGGCTTTGAGATACTTATTGGCAAAGAAGGACGCGAAACCGAGGCTACTTAGATGGATTCTACTTTTCCAAGAGTTTTATTTGGTTATAAAGGACAAGAAAGGAATTGAGAATGGAGTCGCGGATCACTTGTCTAGACTTCGGGTCGAGGAGGACATACCGATAGATGATAGCCTCCCCGAAGAGAAAGTCTATGTGCTCGAATATTTGAAGGAAGAGTATCCCGCGGTTATGATTTTGGAAAGCATGGAAGATGACCTTCCATGGTATGCCGATTTTTTGAATTACTTGGCTTGTGATCAAGAGCCTCCAATGTTCCATGGATATAGGAAGAATAAATTCTTGCGAGATGTGCAACATTATTTTTGGGATGAGCCATTTTTGTATAAGAGATGCTCCGATGGTCTTTTTAGGAGATGCATTTCAAAAGAGGAAGTGAAGGGCATTCTCTACCATTGCCATGCATGCATCGGAGTATGCAGGACATTTCGCAACATTTAAAACAGTGGCCAAGGTTTTACAAGCAGGATTCTATTGGCCAACCACGTTCAAGGATGCTCATGGGTTTGTTTCTTCTTGCGACGCTTGCCAAAGGAAGGGCAACTTTACAAAGAGGAATGAGATGCCACAACACTTTATCTTGGAAGTAGAAGTATTTGATGTGTGGGGCATCTATTTCATGAAAAAAACCATTTTCTCATGGAAACCAATACATCCTAATGGCGGTAGATTATGTTTCAAAATGGGTGGAAGCTCTTGCGAGCCCCACTAATGACGCCAAGGTTGTGCTAAAAATGTTTAAGAAAGTTATTTTCCCAAGATTCGGTATACCACGAGTGGTTATTAGTGATGGGGGATCTCACTTCATCAACAAAGTTTTTGAGAACCTTTTGAAGAAAACATGGTGTGAAGCATAAGGTTGCCACTCCTTACCATCCTCAAACAAGTGGCCAAGTGGAAATCTCCAACCGATAAATCAAAGCGAGAAGACGGTTGGGAAAACAAGAAAGGATTGGTCCACCAAGCTTGACGATGCGCTATGGGCATATAGGACGGCATACAAGACACCCATAGGAACCACACCTTTCAATCTTGTCTATGGTAAGTCTTGCCATTTGCCGGTTGAGATTGAGCACAAAGCTTTTTGGGCTACAAAATTGTTGAACTATGACATAAAAACCGCTTCGGAAAGGCGGTTGGTCCAATTGAACCACCTCGACGAAATAAGGCAAGAGGCCTACGAGAACACAAAGATCTACAAGGAGAGGACTAAGGCTTGGCATGATAAGAAGATCTTACCAAGGGAGTTCAAGGTAAATGACCAAGTGCTGCTCCTCAACTCTAGACTCAAGTTATTTCCAGGAAAGTTGAGATCTAGATGTTTTTTACCCTTTCGCATAAAGGAAGTGAAACCGTATGGAGCGGTAGTGCTTTGGGATGTCAATGGTGAACACTTCACGGTGAATGGCCAGCGCCTTAAGCCATACCTTGCTGATGAGAGCATGCCAAGCAAGGGAAAGTTGACGATCTGTTTAGCCTTTCTCACAACAACTTGCTCCTCTTCCTTATCATCTCTCACAACTTCCTCAAGCTCTTTTCCACTTCTAAGCATTATGTAAAATGTTCCCTTGGGTTTGCTTCCGGTTTACCGGGTAGTGTTCCCATGGGTCTCTTTGATGAAGAGGCGGTTTGAGCAACTTGGTTGTCAAGAGATTTGACATGAGAGGCCAAAGTTTCAAACTTCCCATTAAGATCATTGTACATGTTGTCCACTTTTGTGTTCATCTCAATGGTACTTTTCTTTTGTCCTTCAAGGAATTGTTGCAACATTAGCTTCACCTCACTATCTGGTGCAGTTGGAGCAGAAGAAGAACTCCCTTGAGCTTGGTAAGGGGCTTGGTAAGGTGCTTGGTAGGGCGCTTGGTAAGGTGGTCTTTGTTGGAGCAGTAGCCCCTCTAGCTTGGAACCCTTGGTTGAAAGGCCTTGGTTGGAATCCTTGACCTCTAACATAGTTCAACTCTTTTTGTGGCTCCTCATACCCTTCAACACTAAAGTCTTGGTACCCTTGATATCCACTATACTCTTCACAAGAGTTTACCGTCATCTTTTCTTTTGGTCACGCTTCAATATCTTATCCATTTTTGCATTCAGCTCTTGGATGGCATGATGAGATTCATCATTGTTTTTCCTTGTAGTCCGATCATAATCCGAGCCATGACTCCCATTGCTTTGTGCGAGATTCTCTACCAAAGTATAAGTATCGGCTTCCTCAATTGTTTGACTCATGAAGCTTCTCGTAGACACCAGAGCTCTGGAGAGGTTTAAATAACTCGACTGAAAGGAGAGGAACGAAGTCACATCTCTCGCCCAAGTTCAGCGGACTCAATCGCACCCTTCCTTCGTCGTATAGAAGATAGTTCCGATCGTTGAGTTTAATGGGAGACACAACTAGTAATATTGATATTGGAAGGAAAAGGATAAGACTCAAGAGAACCCTCCATGGCTCTTGATACCATGTGAGTGTTCATGGGCTTCCAACTCAAAACCAATTGGCAATGAGTGGAGAGGCCCATGTCCTTTATATACTAGTGTAGGTCCCTTCTCACTTTCAATTAGGGATTCCTAACAAAGGGAAGTCTGGATACTTGACACAGGTTGTTCTTTCGGAAGAAGAGAATGGTTTGTGAGTTTATCAGATGCTGGTAGTGGAACAAGTAAAGATGGCAAATGACACCATGTCAACAGTGAAGGGAATAGGAAGTGTGAGACTGAGAAATGAAGATGGTTCTACTGTTTTGCTGACAAAGGTGAGATATGTCCCCAGGGTGAGAGCATTACTAATCGGGGAAGTTTGAACTAGCTGGAGAGTCAGGATCTCTTTTCGAAAGCTATTATCAACGTTCAGCGATTGAATTACCTTCAGTAAATCTAACCAGCTAAGCTACCCTTTATAATTAAGTTAAGAAAGGGCAGTTCTGTCGATTCCCAATCTCGAAACTGAGAGTGCGAAGTCACAAGCTGATGGGCTATATATATGTGAAGTTCAAAAACCCAGTTAAGAAAGGAAAGATATAGCTATCAAGCTGAAACTTGAACAGGAATTTCCCTAGCTTTTCACCTTTCTCGTTAGTACACTATCTTTCACCCTTCCACATCTTCTCTTTATTATTGGATGGTTTATGGTCAAAGAGCTTAGGCTGTGTATCCTCAGCTGTTGTCTGTTCAGTATTCTCACTGGCATCTCCGTCTGTGATAACATTTACTTATCTCCTTTCACTCTCTCCTTCTCCTCTCCTTCTTCCAATCCCGTAGAGAGGCCTGGAAGAATTTATTGAGAATAACAAGACGATTGACATCTTAAATAAAGACATCATGCCCTAGACGCGAAGGTTAGTAAGAGACCCAGGTGAATTCTGCGAAGATAGAAGAGCGGACTTCTGAGGAGACTGGAAGCCTATAAATAATAGGAATGGCGAACTGGAACCTCATCCTTTAAAGGGTTGGTGTATATTTGTCCTATTCGTAAAGACCCCGACCTTGCGTCAGGGAAAGTGGGGAAAACCCCTAAGACTCTACGGGCTAGCCGGGCCTAAAGGAGCTTATCAAATTCCACCTATGTAGTGACTCGCATTCAACAACTAAGAGTCTTCCTTGCTTTCGTCACAAATCCCATCTCTTTTTTCTTGGTTGGACCAACCGGCACCAGCCATTTCCGTCTTCCTTAATTGGGAGAGTCAGAATCAGTCTCTCTTTTTTTGACGTATCAGAAAGGGCCTCTCTTCTACCGCCCGAAGTTTCTATTTATGCAAGTATCTTCACTTCAATACCCCAGCCTATACATTTAATGATAACCGAACCCAAGCAAGGAGCTTAAATCTTGTCTATTTCCTTGAATGGTCGGGTTGGAAATTCTTTTATGTGCCAACGCAGGCCTATCACCTAATCTCCACTGCGAAATCCTTTGTTGGAAGGCTTGCTGATTTACACCTCTCTCCGCCGCTTCTTAACAGTTGACTCTGCGAGATTAGCACTTTCTTAGTTACTAACAGATATATCTTTTCCGCGCGAGCTAGTTCAACAGTTCATTCTTGTAAGCCCCCTTGTCAGCCACACTAAGACTTCGGGTCATCATTACCTTAGTTGAAGGAAGAAGCCCGGCTATTTCAGCTCTGGGAGGAAGGACTACTTTTTTTCACTCTTTTGAGATGCGTGAATACATTGATTGAGAGATAACCTGTTCTGGAAAGAGCAGAGGTTAACAATGCTAAGATGGAAAGCAGACAGACTTCCATTTCTTCAGTAGGAGAGAAACACTCTTTCTTGGTTGACTGCAGGGAAGCTTGACTTGGTCTCAAAGGCTTGGCTAGAAGGCAGAACTCTTTCTTTAGTGGCCCCAGAAGAATCATTACCCTAAAGCAAGGGAATCAACGAACGATCTACGAATATCAACAGCTTTTCCCACGGTAAGAGGTAAGGGACAGGGTGAGGAACGAACAAGTAGCTAGGCTTTCCTGGTGGTTATGAAAGTAGCTTACCCTTTGCTTAGGCGAGTGCAGTCACTTCCGGATGAAATGATTTGAGTCCCTAATCAGTAGCCGTTCCTTCAGCTCTTCAAAGCCAAGTCAGCAGCTATGATATGAAAGCATTTCTTTCGAGATAACCAGTCCAGGTGCTCGGGGAAAGAGTTAACCGTAGCAGTCTAAGGCCGAGATGAATCGATTGAAGAACTAATTCACTTATCTTATATAGGGTATAGGGAATCACCCATTCTTTGAACCTCAACGCAGATAACATTAGATTCGTCAGAGTAGCTAACTCTTCTTTATGTTTAAACGATTCCTTTGAACAAATCCTAGTTAGTTAGCTTGGCACAAGGAGTTGTCTAATCAAAAGGCGTAAGCGCAGCAGAGCGCAGCAGTTAGAATATCATCCGCATCTGGCTTGATGACAGCTTTCCCATTCATAAAGTATACTACTCTTTGGTTCATTACCCTCTCCCCGGCCCGGTATAATGGAAGGAAGGGAAGGAAGGATCGCCCTGGCAGGAAGTTCTCCCAGCTGAGTTAGGTGTTAGGAAGGTAAGCTCAGTTGGGAAGTCAGTTCTCCCTGGAAGAGGAGTAAGGTTAGGAAGCTAAGCCCGGTTATAGGAATGGGAGATAAGCCTAGGAAGGTAAGGTCAGTAACCCAGAGAGGGAAGTTAGGTCTTCAAGCCTTGGTTTGTTCTTCCCTTGTTCTTTCTCTTAGTTCTCCTCTTTTCCTAAAACCCTTCTCCGCATAGAAGCCTAGGAAGTCAAGGAAGTTGTGTTGGTCTTTCCCAGGTTCCTTGTTCCCCTGTTGCCCTAAGAGAAAGGCTGTTGTGATTCTACGGTTTAGAGCATTTCCATTTTCCCGTGTTTTGAGCTTGCCGATGTTTTCACTCTTTGAAATCATAACAAAAAGTGAAGAGTTGCATTTTCCCGGGAATTTTGGTTGTCAACTCAATTCATACTTAGAAAGCCGATCAAAAAGAGACAAGCGACACAAACCCCGGTATTTTGGCTATCGATGAATTTCACTCTTAGGAATCGTGGAAAAATGATCAAATTTGCTAGGTTTTCGCCATGGTAGAAGGCAACATTTCTCTTTCCGATGGGTCCCCAAAGAGTCAAACTGGGTTGCTAGGTTTTCCACTAGGGGTAGAAGCCAGATTCTCCTTTTTCATGTCATCCAAAGAGTCAAAGGGCCTTGCTAGGTTTTCGCCATGGTGGAGTGAAAACTTTTTGGTTTCTCATGTGGTCTTACGAAGGAAAACAAGGTTGCATCAATTCGTCGCTATATGAGATGGAAAAGTTTCGTTTTCATGCGCTCCATAGAAGTCAAGATGAAGGTTGCATGTCCGCAAAGACTATTAGCTCGCGGTAGAGCTGTCTTTGCTAGCTTTATTGCTGGCTCTAAGCCTACCTCCTTATATTATAAGGTGCGAGTCTTCCGGGGTAGCGTAGCAGAGCTGGAGGACCGAGACAAGCGGCTAATGCAGCTAATGTAGCTGGGAGGATTTGGACAGCATAAGCCAAGAGTTGACTAAGAGAGTATTGGAGCTAGTGCACACTGAGGTCTGTACGCCATCCCTCTCCTGACATCAGTACCTCTGCTAAAAAAGAAGCTCTCATCTTCTGAGACCAGACAATTTCCTTGTGATAGCACTCTCTGGTATGGCTGGGTGGGTTGCGCAGAGGAGTTTGAGGAAGGTAGCTTCTTCTACGCGGGTACGCCTATGAGAATAAGTTAGCACACTCCTAGCGAAGCAAGCTATCTACTCTTCTGTGCTGTCCTGTCCTAGCGAAGCAAGCTTTGAGTGCTCCTTAATAGTAATAGTAGGAGCTTTCCTCTCCAAAGGGAATCCCAGGATCTCTGGCACACCTAACTCTTTCCTTTAGAATCCTTATTCTTGGCAGTTACATGACTAGCTGGTATTCTCGCTCGTACAGTTAAACAAAGGTGTACTGTGAGCAGCTTTTGTTCTAATTCTTGGGTAGACAGTTCCACTAGCTCCTCCTCAGCTTTAGTCCCATGCTTTAGTCTTCCTTTTCCTTTTCAGGTTTGGAAGTATAAAGTATCATAGTTTCATAGATGGCTAGGGAGTTGGGTAAACCTTAGTTCTTATAGGGAAGGTGAAACCAACTCTCCCTTTTCCTTTCCTAACGAAGCAAGTTCTCTCTACTTCTCGGTATTCCTCTGCTTTCTCTAGCGCAGTGCTGGGTTATTCCTTCCTAACTGTTATCTGTATACTCCTAGCGAAGCAAGCCCGATAAACTAGTATTGCACACATTCCAGCACACACCCGTGGATGAAGATTGGTCCCTATCTCGTGCTAAAATCAATTGGGTGCCACTGCCACTATAGTATAAACGCGGGCGAAAGACCCTAAGAGTCAGTTTACCCCTTCCCAGGAGTGTGCTCAACCAACCAACTTAGTAGATTAGCTGCCCATCTTCACCTAACCTAGTTGACTTACTTATCTGTGTTCTATCCTCTGTGCTGGGATCAGATCAAAGGAACTCTCCTGAAAAGGATAGCCAGTTTAGCAACTTCACAAGGGTGTGTTGTAAACAAGCGTAGCCCTGTGTTGGCAAAAGGGATTAACTACGGAAGGTAAGAGATAAGATTCGGAACTAGCGCAGCAATCTTCTGATAAAATAAAGTAGAACTCCCTGCTTACTTAGCAGACTTAGCTTAGTTCCTATCCATCCATGGAACTAGAAACCCATCAGCATTAGCAACTGCCCAAAAGAGCCACCCTTCGCGCTACCTATGAAATATAAGGAACGTCAGTTAGTCGACTAAAGGGATCCTTAGACCCGGACTCCCACGACTATTAAGAAAGCACTGCTCTTTCTTTCTTCTTTTGCATTTCCTACTGAGGAATCCATTGCAAGAGCTCTTCTTCCCCCAAACTTATTTTCTTAGAGAGGCGGCCCTTCACCTTAAGGCCTGGTTCCAGTAAACATAGATAGCGGGGCATGTCATGGAAAGATATCGACGCAATACAAAGCTGCTCGAGCTCGCCGTAGGAAACTAACTGGCTTAGTCATGCCTATTCCCACAAAACAAACAGAGGAGAGTCTTTCTTCATGCAAGCAAAGGAACAAGGCAGATAAGCTAACTACCTTTTCTCATCATGCACATTCCCAACGAACCAAGAAAGAGACTCTTTAATCAAAGCTAGCTACAGGGGAATGATCCGGCAGGCGGAGAGTTTGATTGCGACAGTCCAGCCTCCTTTCCAGCCCTTATATATAATATCCCCAATCCCTGGTTTCGACAGCCAGCGTTTCTCAAAGGAGAACTTTCCACAAACTGACGCTTCTTCGGCCGCGAAAGTTCTAAATATGGGCCTATGATCCGAGCCCATCATGTCCAAATACTCCATGTGGACACGTGGAAATATGCGAAACCACTCATCGTTCCCAAAGCTTCTATCGAGGCGGCTAAGGGTAGCCTAGCTTCTTCTGTCATTAATGAATCTCTCCTCTTCTTCCTTGTAGCTATTCAGCAAGTGTTGCTAGTTGAGCGATTACCCTCGTTAGCTCTCTTTGCTGTCTAGTTTCTTGACATTCCGAACTAGAACTTCTTATTTGATCTACAACAGCAGAATCACAGCTATAATCAACAGATAGAAAGAAATAGATGTCCGGGTTATTAAGGATGGATAGGGTATGGACAGCCGTAGAACTCGCGAAGCATGCATTAGAAGCAGATCCTACTAGGGTTTGTGAACCTACTCGGCGGGGTAGGAGATAGATATGTTCCTCGTAGGGATGACCTAGTCGAAGGAAAGAAGATGTTCCCAAAGAGATGTTGAGGAAGGATAGCAGTATACATAATCTTAATGCAATCAAACGGTTATCCTCCTTTTTATAGGTATCCAAACTCGGAAGATGTTATGAGACTGAGCCGGCTACCGTACTTCGTGCTGGAACAGGGGTTCCTCCTAACAATGGATCCACCACAGTAGGGGTTATATCACAACTTATTCCCATCCGGACAAAGAAAAGGAATAGTAGTGAAATGACAGGAACAGGAACGACAGCTTTCATTGCTACGGCTATTGGCTTTAGCTCTACTATGGCATTCCCTGTAGTTCTTGGAGTAACTCAAACTCGAACTCCTGTTCCATCAAGTGATTTTAGGCAAACTGATTCTAGGGCTCACGATAAGATATACATTTTTTTCCTTTCCTTAGAGGGCCACTTTCTTAATTCCATTTTTCTGCTATTCCCATTGAAGCAGTAGTTGAAGTAGTGGCATTCAAAATAGAAATCTATGTCAAAGTGCTATTCATGGCCATTGCTAAGTACGCAAATAAGCCAGTTAGATATTTCTTTGATTTCCAAGTTAGGGATCTAGTTCCAAGGGAGGGCTAGATCAAGCGCATCTAGTGTTGGAGAAAAAAGGGCATCCAATGCTTCTGCCATCGAAAATGGTTAAGCCCCTACAATAGCAGCGGGAGGATTTCTCGCAGGGAATTCTGTAACATCCCTATAGCCAGAGTCAGCCGACAAGAGTTTCTTTTCCATAGTTGGGAATGGAGTGCTCCCTACGACAGGAAATCGGTGTCGTGGTGGTTGGTGCTACGAGATGGCAATTTCTCGTATAGAAGAATAGATCCGCGGACCTATTGATTTACCATAGATGCGAACCGATCGACCCCTACCTAAGAGAAGATAAGTAGTTCTTCTATCGTTCAAGGGCAGGGCGAAAACGAAGATAGGATCGTGGCCCTTTTCTTGTTTCTTTTGTTTGTGTCCGGTACTTGCTCGAATCCTTCTCGTTCGATCCACATTCCATAGCTTATTATTTCACAAAGGACTCCGCCATTGAATAGACTATCTACAACTTTTTACGTGAGATCTGATCTTTCCTCCCTCACAGCGATTAGTTCAAATCGAACTAGCTAGATTCTCTTGCTCTAGGCCTTTTCTTTTACTATTCCTATTCCCTGCTCTACTTAATGTACGAGGAGGAATAGAGATCGACAAGCAAGAGTCAAGCCTCTTTCCTGATTAGCGAATAGTGCCTCACTTTCCTTCTAAGCTGTCATCAGTCTCAGACAAGAAATAAGATCAAATAGAATCCGATTTCCGACATTCAAGAGTAGTAAAGCATCGAAGCAAATAGCGTAAAAGGATACCTATCGAATAGGCTCTGGGACTTCAGGATCCCTAACCTATTGAACCTAGTGTTCAAGCCTAAACCTGACTCCCTCACTCGCTCTCTTTGCCGACAATCCCCGGAAGCAAGCCAGTAGCTAGAGAGGATAGGATGTGATCGAAGCCGCTGGTAATACCCCTATCTGGAGTGAACTCTCCCCTATAGTGGACTGCGGGGGTATTGACATATAGTTAGAGTCAAATTAAGGAATTGAAACGGAGTTGCATTAACTTGATAAAAACACGTGTCCAATCGCTATAGAAAGAAGTTTCCCAGAGTTCTGTCTCGGAGGACTGATGACCTTCTATTGAAAGAGTGGAAGGTAGCAGATGGAGATAGAGATTGAACAGTTGGTGGCCCTACGAGGAAGTCTACCCATTTCACTAAGCTTGAAGCTTACGGCAACCGCTTTCCTTATCCGTGGGAAATAAATGGAGGATGGAACTTTATATTGAACATTTATAGGCTTCGGCGGATGCCGAGTCGGCAACTTATTGACTTAAGGTACGGATGAGGCTTATGGGGAAGGGGGCTGACGCTTAAGCATCGGCTAGTGTAACCACTCCAGTCCATCTTTCGTATCCAAGCCAAGGTGGGCGCTTTACACATATGATATGGAGATCTAGTACAGTGAACAAGTAAGGTAGGGGCGTATCTAATCCCTTCTCTTGTGAGATCTTCTTTCTCTAAAGGAAGCATAGATAATAGTGGTTTCAATCAAAGTCTGTGGAATTCATTAGATATCCCTGATGGATTAAGGCGTAATACATAATTGAAAGGGGTTCCTCCTATCACTCTATTACTGGGGACGATATGAAAATGTGTTGGCACGGTTCCAACTCGTGAGAAAAAGGAGGACTTTGTGAAGAGCTACCAAGCCTTGAGAACAGAGCGAGCCTTACAGCTTGAAAGATGGATCAAGAAACCTTGGGGTAATTGTTGTGAACTCATTAAACTACATCCCAACTACCAACAGGAAGAATCCTTCGCCACATACCTGATCCCTACTATCCGAACGGAGGAATGAATACTCTTTAAACAGAAGCTGACAGTACGGATGCTAACAGCAGAGGATAGCTTCGATCACTTGGAGTACTTCCCACCTTTCCTATACAAATGAAAGACATCACAGTAAAGGACAGGAATACAGCTAAGCCACATACCATCACACATCATGCACAGCTATTCCCAAGATAGTGACTTTTGAGCCAATGATCCCTATCAGTAGTGATTGATTACCCTTGGGATCTGAAAAGTCCATTTTCTATTAGCCGAGGTTTGCCATATAAAATCAATACCAGAGAGCCGGAGTGGACTGCTTTCGAACGACAGGCTGATAGTTGAAAAGAAGCCTAAGTCAGCGACTGAACATTGCCTTGGGACAGAAAGAGAGAGAAGGGCGAGTCAAGACTTCCAGTTTTATGAAATAGAAGATCCAGATCTTGGAGCACCTAATCAACCAGTTGAGGAAGAGGAACGAAGGTACTCGACCAGAAGAAAAGGTTAGAACCTGCTCGGCCGACTAAAGCTAAAGGGATAGGGGAAAGAAAACTGCTTGAATAACTAGTGGGTTACTACTCGATCGACTAAAACAGAAGTAAGGGAAAAAAACCACCATCATACTGTCTTTTCCCTTAAAGAAAGTAAGGCATCCCAAGGCAGGGAAGGAATCTGAACCAAGGAAGGATTCTGCTGGAGCTGCAGTCTCGGAGTTTCAAACTGACCTTTAGGCACTGACGTGACTCTTCCACTTGTTGATGAGGAGAGGGATTGATTACTCGACTAAAAGGAGAGGGTAGCAGAATACCATTAAGAAAAATATCCCATTAGTGCTGCTCTTTTCTAAGTCAAATACCTAACAACGAGAATCAGGAGGGAGCTTCTGGGTAGCATCAGGAGACTTACTTACTAGAAACTAATAAAATAGTGAAGGTTGTAGAGAAGGCTTCTTATAAGATAAGGGTACAGTAGCTCGTATCGAAGAATATTCCCGAGATGTGAATCTCACTAAAGCATTTCAAATAAAGAGAGGGGCCAAGCTTAAGAATTCGCTTTCCAGGACGTACTCAGGGCAGGGAGACAGGGCGCAACAATTGTGACTGGCCATTTTGATCGATGAGGGAAGGCAAGGCCTTAACCAAGAGTCATCGCATTCGTCGCACCAATCATAGATAGAACCCGATCCTTGGATAGAATCCATAATCAGAAGTTATCGGTACCCTTAGCATCTTCCCTTTGATTAGAATGTGAAGGTCCTTGGTTCGGGCAAGCAGCGTATTTAGAAGCCTGCTACCGAAATGGAATTCCTCGGTCGATAACTTTCATGATAAAGCAGAATTCCGTTGGACCAATAAGTACCTTCTCGTTTCAGTCGAGTCACTGAGCGCCCACCGGGTTGATTGAAAGTGCCCCTACGGACTGGGACACCTTCTTCCAGAGCATTCTCACCATCTGTACTAGCCTTGCATGAAAAAAGGATGAACCATGAAGAATTCTCCACTCTATGAACTCATAGCGCTCTTGGGATGGGCATGTGTCTTGCAGTAGGTCAAAGTGAAAGAATAAATAAGCACGAGGGAGATGCTAGGCTGATCAAAAGAAGAAGGATTAGCGAGAAGTATATCTAACTTTCTTCTCCAATTGCAATTGACTTATTATAGATTTTCTATATTCTTTTTCTATTTTCCTAGCGAACTAGCAGCTCCCCCGCCCTACACAGGATTGGATACTGAACCTGATCAGATAGACCGATCGGTGCGTAAGATGATGATAGTGACGCACTAGGTTTGATTTGATCTCGCTACCTACTATGTATACTGTTATAGCTCTTCTTCTACCTCTATCTACTGAGGATATTGGAGCACTAACCCGCAACTTTCATCTACGCTAACAGCTCTCTTCTCTTAATCCGCCTTCGATTATTCATTAGCGCTCCGGGTCCTCCTGCTACTCAAACAGCTTTCTTTAGGAAATGCCGACATCTACTACTAATGGCTTGACATTCCAGAACAGGAAGTTATTTGAATGCCCGAAGTCTGCATCTTCTATTACATCTCCGAAAGAGTGAAAAGTCCCTTCTTGCCTGATGAGTTCTTCTTTCTTTTCTTGCTCCTCACAGTCAAGATCCCGCAAATTCTGACTGACTTTAAATTAATAGTCGTTTTATCTGATGATATGAGATGACGAGCGTCAGACAGAGAAAGATCAAAAAGTCTAGTCAAGAAGCTTAACGGTGAAGATGGAGAATGAATTGAATCTTTCACCCACCTCAATCCAACTAGCACTCTTGTGCCTCATCGATCTGCCTTCTCACTCCAGGAGAGCCATTTCGCCATTCAAAAAGAACTGTACACGCGCGTATGGATCATCCATCAGAATCAATCAGTCTTTCAGAGTAGTCATCAAGCAAGCTATAGAAGTACGTGTGAGGAAAGAGAAAGAAGTGAGTTGAGTGACTTGTGACCATCCTTATAATTTCGAATTGCATAAAAGGAGTCAGTCACTGACGCCGCTCCCAGAATCTTAGGTTGCTTTCTTTTCGTTTTAGGTAAAATAACCAAGGTTGCAAAAAGCTATGGGGGGCCCTCATAAATCCACCACTTATCAAACTGCGAATGCTAACAGTATCGAAGCGCACCAAGAGATTCCCGGTCGAACAAATTTCGTATAGAAAAAAAAAGATGTGTTTTGTCGAGTTTGCTTCGTCCTCTTTTTTTTTTCTTATTTTCCTTCCTTTAGGCGCTTGCTCTCAAAAAAAAGGAAAGGGTCAAATAAAAAGCTACCTTTTATCAAGGCTAATTCCAACGGACTTCGCCCAGATCTTCATTCAATGGGACGACGTCAGTGCATCTTTCTGGATGATGAACGCCTGTCTCGCTCATAGATAGAGGAAGAGTACGCGCGCTAGCGCGCTACGGCTTACGAAGTTGATCGGGTCAGATAGCCCTTCGGGCAACCAACCGCACAAAAAATTCCGATCAACAACTTGGAGGGATGGCTGAGTGGCTTAAGGCATTGGTTTGCTAAATCGACATACAAGAAGATTGTATCATGGGTTCGAATCCCATTTCCTCCGGCGCGGAAGTGAAACGGGCGGGCGAAATGAGAAGAGCACTACTTAGTGACTAGGAGCGGGGAGCCCGTTGCGCGTTTTTTTGTTTGACCGGCCTATCTTCATAAGTAAGCTCCCTATGGCCGTCCAGTCCCTGGGCGGCTCTCGGTTCTTGAGCATGTTGGGAGATTAGTCGTCAATTGAAAGAGCTGCTCTAAAGCTTGACGAAGAAGTTTTCCCTATTAATTAGATTAGTAAAGGGCTTTTCCCTTACTAGTCAAGTGGTAAGGTAGGGCGCTCTTCGATGAAGAAAAGAAGAGACTTTTGGAAAAGTGGTTCAGCTCAGCTGGTTAGAGCAAAGGACTGTAAATCCTTGTGTCAGTGGTTCGAATCCACAACCACTTCTATTCTCGGAGCTGAGGTATATGAAGAATGGCCCTTTGGTCCCTTTCGTCCAGTGGTTAGGACATCGTCTTTTCATGTCGAAGACACGGGTTCGATTCCCGTAAGGGATAGGTACTCATTCTCGGCCGCTTTCAGTTAGTGTTCATTGCTGAGGGATCCCGAGATCTCGAAGCAGATGACCAAGTGAGCTCCGCAGCCGTTAGTGCAAGGGCTCGATATTCCGTTTCCGTAGAAGAACGAGACACTGTGGGCTGGCGTTTTGCGGACCAGGAGATAATATTGCATCCGAGAAACGTACAGAATCCAGTTGTAGACCTCCTCGTGGATGTACATCCTGCCCAGTCACTATCACAGAAGGCCTGAACATTGAGCTTGCTGTTTTTGTGAATATACAGCCCATGAAAGATGGTGCCTTTAACATAGCGAAGGACACGCTTCAGGAGATCAAAATCAGCGAGTGTAGGCTCATGCATTCGCTGACAGACAATGTTCACGGCATAACTTATGTCTGGTCGAGTGAGAGTTAAGTATTGGAGAGCACCTACAATGCTGCGAAAGTCTGAAGGATCCGGATACTTAGCAGTGGAAACAGAGGAGTTGAGCTTAAGGGGCAGAGGAGTAGACATAGGTTTGCAATCTAACATCCCTGCATTGTTCAGAATCTGTTCAGCATACTTGGTTTGGGATAGAAACAGACCCGAAGGATGAGTTTTGATCTGAATTCCCAGAAAATAGTGGACTGGCCCAAGGTCTTTCATTGAGAAGTCATTGAGAAGGTGGAGCTGAGCTGAAAGATCAACATATTGAGCAGAGTGTTGGAACTGCCCGTGAGAAGAATATCATCCACGTAGAGAAGCAGATACATGACATCAGAATTGTTGTGATACGTGAACAGAGAAGGATCAGCTGAGCTGCAGACAAACCCAAACTCCAGAAGAAAATCGAAATGTCGAACCAAGCACGAGGCGCCTGTTTCAATCCGTAGAGAGCCTTTTTCAACAGACACACATGGGATGGATGAATAGGATTCGTAAAACCAGGAGATTGATGCATATAAACTTTTTCTTGAAGATACCCATGGAGAAATGCATTTTGAACATCCAATTGATTGATTGGCCAACCTCTAACTGTTGTGCAACATTCAAGATAGTACGAATAGTGGCTGTCCTCACAACCGGACTATAGGTCTCAACAAAGTCAATACCTTCTTCTTGATGAAACCCTTTAGCAACCAAGCGAGCCTTTAGGCGATCAAGAGTACCATCAGAATGTAATTTGGTTTTGAAGACCCATTTACAACCAAGAATATTCTGATTAACTGGAGGTGGAACAAGTATCCAAGTCTTGTTCCGAGAGAGAGCATCAAGTTCTTCCTGCATTGCTTGACACCATCCTGGATCCTTAAGGGCAGAAATAACAGATTTTGGTTCTTTTTTAATAGTGGTAGTAATAGTGAGACTATACTTGGGATTTAGTTTGTTTATGCCAGCCTTTGATCTGGTAAGCATGGGGTGAGAGGAGTGGTTTTGAGGTAGTGGAAGAACTGTAGATGAAGAAAGCGGTATTTGAGAGGGAAGTAGAAGAACATGGAGAGGAAGGTGGGTCTGGTTCTCTGTTTAGTAAAGAAGAAGGTGGGTTAGGGGAAGGTGGATTAGGTCAGTTGGTTAGGGATGTGAGGAAAGGAAGGGAAGGTTGGGCCAGGGAAGTTGGGAGTTGGTGTTTCCCTTGTTCCCAGTTGCTAGTGCCTGTGTAGCTAGTTCCCTTGTTCCCTGTAGCTAGTCCCCTGTTGTTAGGAATGGGACTAAAGAGCTCTAACAGAAGAGCGGCAAGAGCTTCTCTGAAAAGACCTGTTCTCTTATCGCTTTGAACATTCTCCTGGGTTCCTAGCCCAAAGAAAAAGACAAGGCTGAGTTGCCCCTTCTACCATCTGAGGTGGAATACGGATCAAGATTTGCTGAGTTTGTTCTATGGAATAGGCCAGGCCCTCTCACTCTATCTCATGTCGGAGAAGATTATGTATGAATTTGAATACCCACGAACGTCTAAGAGGTCAGCTACTTAGTTGATTTTATTTAAGGTATCTCTTGATCGAAGGGTTCAAGCCGCTAAAGCGGAAAGATATATCTCTTCGCCTGAAGCGTTGTGGATTTAGGCGTGTCACGCCAACCTTCTGTAAGTTCCTGGATAATCGTTCCCGGATAATGCCTGCCGCAGGGACTAACCCTATCTTCGCGCATACTTCCTTGTTTGTCTGGGAGTTGAATCAGAAGCATCGAATGAAAGCTTCTTTACAGGACCTCTTCTATTTCCCTCCATTCTTCTTCCTAGTGACCTAGGAGTTGGGTTCGTGACATTTTTTCTTTCTGCTTATTCAAGTAGCCCGGTCTGGTAAGTAAGGACTTTGCTCTCAGTAGAAGTCAAAAAGCCTTCAACAAGACCATCCGCTATTGAATCAGCTGCTATAGACTTAGCTAAAGAATGTCTTGCACGAGATTCAATGTTATGTGCTTGATTGCGATCACATTTTTCTCGTAGTTGATGAGCTGCCAACCTCCGGAATTGAGGGTTGTAGGTAGAGTTTCCTGCGTTCAACTTGGAGTTGGAAGAGTTGGATTTGGAGTTTATAAAAGCTGTTATTAGTTCCGACTCCCCGGTCTAGGCCTGGTACTTGTTAGTTCTAAGGTATCAGTGTCGCTACTTTCTGTAAAAAATTTCCTGCGAAGGGAAGCGGGAAAGACAAGGTTTCGAATCTTGGTCTAAGAACTTACACTACACTACGGAGGCACGGGCCAAGAGATCATAACAGTAAAATCCTCAACCTCACAAGCAGACAAGCTGGTGGATCATCTGATCTTGAAATAGGTCATCCCAGCTATCCCGATCTTTTCTCTCTTTATTTCGTCAGGTATCTGAATCATACGATTCTTCGGATGTAGCTTTTCACATTGGACCAAAACAAGGCCCGGAAACCCCGCTAGCTTTGTTGATAGAAA